TTTTGATCACTAAATTAAGTATTTTATTTCTTGATTATTATTACAAAATTAAGACGATCTCTTTTTTTAGAAACTATGAATCAAAAATAGGAAACAGGAATAAAAAGCGACACAGATTTTAAGAGATAATTTAATTTTTCTTCAGAAATTATAATTTAATACGTCAATACGTATTATATATTTCCTTTTTTTTTTTTTCAAGTAAGATGATAAAAAAATCAGTTAATGTCTGTCTAATATATTGAATTCTGAATTGTTCTTATAATTTCTTTGACAATATTAAGAGATTAAATATGACTTTTTTTGAAATATATCACGTCTGTCCATTTCTGTGGATTTGATATGCGGATTTTCCACGAGGGACGAAGTTAGAAGCCAAATTGGATCATCGATCGACACTTAAAGTGAAAACTGATCTTCAAACGTCCATCATAAGTTTGTCAAAGAGACGAGCGATCGGATTATCAAAGAACTTGCAAAGTCCTTGCGTAATGCATCACTTCCGTTATCCTAACATTTACGAAATATGATATTCATCCCCAGACACAAGTTTGTTTGTGCATTATTTCATAAATATACGTTATCTTTGCATCCTCAGCCCGCGTCACGTCTTTACCACACTTTCAGCTAGATATAATAAGCAATTTTCTAGTTGAATCCGATTATCTTCTTCAGGAAAGAAGTACAAATTAAGACTGTCAAGTACATAATATTTTTTTTATTGTCCTTTTATAACGTACAATCAACAATAGTATTTTTTTTTTCTTTCTTTTTTCCTTTCTTTTATGTAACCCATGTGCCAGGAATCTTAAAAGGACACGTTAGACTTGTGGGTTAGTATATAAATAACGGTTTACAGTGACAATACAATTAGATAGCTGGTTATTAACAAATTTACAATGTAGAACGTCCTGCCGATATCTCTCGGCGAGACATAATAGATCAATAGTGTATATATAGTTATATGCAAGGGAGGGAGGGGTAACAACGAAGGTTTTACAGAGTAATTTATAACATTGTAAGTAGAGAAATAGCCATTACGCACTCGCGAGGAAAATAGATAAGATCGCCACACGAATATACATACATTTTACGTATCAATGTTAGGTACATTTTGTTAATACTCCTCGTACACGTTATAAGTACGCATCACAGATATGTCGTTGTTCGTGGAACGAAAAGAAATGTGAAAGGCGATAGCAAGATTCGGTGAGAATATACCGATTGTCCCAAGAATGATACGCATTAGTAAGATTTCATTTTCAAAAGATTCGATTCTTCCTTGAATAACGTACTTCAAGATGGTTTTTTGCTATAAATTCATAATTATTTATCTATAATTAATTAAAGGATTATAGGTGCGATTAATTTTGTTTTTTAAAGATCACGAGAAAAATAATATTTATTCTCAAAAGATTCGAGTCTTTTCTTTTTTTTTTTAAAACATGTTTCAAAATGGTTTACTATAAATTTATATAATTATCCATCTCTTTAATCATTAAAGTAAAGGATCTCACGTGATCGTTCAGGTGATTAATTTGTTTTCTAAAGAACACGAAAAATTTAATAGCAAGACTTTATTCCTAAAAGATTCTTCTTTAAATATACTACGAAATGTATATCCGAATTTTAAATAGTAAAAATGTTTATGTTTTTGGTAAAATTTAATTATAATTTCATTATAATGCGAACGTCTCTCTCAAAAACCTTACCCTTCGAATAACAAAGTTTTGCACAGATTTTATCTCATTTTACATTTTTAACGGGAATATTATAAAACTTATGAATTATGAATATTACTTGGAAAAATGAAAAATTAACAAAAAGATTAAAGTAAAAAATTGAACGATGATTATATTGCTTTCTAAAGAAAAATTTAATTAATTTTTTCAATTAAAAGATTTATTTTTGTGAAAAAGTAAACTATTATTGTTCTGAATTCAATTCTAAAAATTCATAGAACACTTGAACAAGATTTATGCGTGAAGATAATAAAAATGAGTACCCTGCTATTCGTGCACAACTTTCTCGGAATATTTTATAAATTTTATTTTGAACACATAAAAATAATCGAAAGTAAATCTCAGAGCACATGTTGCAGGTAAGTCAAAGAAAAAAAACGGTAAGTAAGTAAAAACTATGAAAATATTGCCAAATTTGTTCGTTTGGCATCAACATACCGAAATTTAAGAAAATATAAAATAGGAAAATTCCACACTATATATATTCATAATTATTCACTATTAGTACGATTGGTATTATGTATTCGCAACTCCTCGCGCCGCAATGAATGTGAACGACGAAGGCAAATTGTACCGGCTAACAACCATCTTAATATCATTATAATAAAGATGTATCGTACAACTATTCACTATCTACTAGGTAATGGAATATTAATCATAATAACGAATAGGACGTAACGTGGGCGTTCAGGACTAGGCAGTATTTTTTTCGTTAATACGCAGTCTCGCGTTATGATTGACACGAAATCATAAGGAATTGCAAAATATTGCTTTGTATTTTATATTCTGTACTTGAATCTTCATGTTTTTAATAATATCTTACACTTCGTTGTAAAGTATAAAATGTTACGGGATAATTAGAAATTTCTATCTTGAACCTAAAATACATTTTAATAGTATCTTGTCCAATCATGGACGAAGTATCGCTGTCATTAAAATTATCGTCGCACATTGCCTTGTTATAGAGATCATATTTCGTAGTTTATAATTAATAATTTCTTTGCAATAATTACATTTCCTTGTATTTATAATGTTTATTTCGCCTTTATCTTTCATTCTAATTTAATTATGCATAACCACACATGAATTTTAAATATTTACACTGAAAAAATTATTAAATCTTAATATTTCTTTAAATAGTAGGTACTAAGTAAACATTTACTTACAGAAAATATATTTACTCAAAAAAAATTAATAGTTAAATTAAATTAATAATTTTTGTAACAAATAACTATATATTTACATTTATTAGTAAATATTTACTTATGATTAGTCAAACAAATATTAACAAATTTAGTATTTTTTTTTAGTGTATACGAAAACGGGTTAACGAACGTTATAATTTTATGCCTCAGAAATTTGTGTTTTGGAAATACTGTTTTGGGAATATCACAAATAATTAATGGCTATCAAGCTCGCGTAACTTCTTTTTCTTGATGTAATAAAAAAAATTTGAAAATCTTCCTTGTTTTATTAACATTTTTAAACAAAATTGTAATATTCAACATTTAAAACATCACGAATGTTGCATTTACTGACCAATACGTATAGAAAAGTATCAAATATATAAGTACGTATGTTATTGCAGTTATATTATTTGTGACAAATCGGTCATTCTCATTTTAGCTCTATTATAACTTATATTGATAACAGCAGGAAACCGAGAAAGGATTAAGATTGCAAAGAGATATTATTTATTAACCATTTTTTTTTCTTTCTTAGGCACCTGAGTTTCAATATTCCGGAACGCATACGAGGAAAATATAATTTGTTAGACAATGTGTTGAAACGTTACTTTTATTGTAATTCCTAATCCAATCTCCATGCAGTTTAAGATATTTTTGCGAATGTGTTCCCGACATCTATATTGCGTGCATGTGTACATAGTCTTTGCCCACGTTACGAGTAACAGTCAAACGAAAACGCGCTAGTTGTTTCACTATATTTATATGTATAATTCTTTTATATATGGAATGTGCTTTCCTACCCAACTGCTAAAAGTGCTAATACATAGATTCCACGTCACCGGGTGCGTACGTTACACGCCGGCGGACGCGCGTAGCTAAATTTACAAGTTCTCTCGACGCAACACGCAAGCCGTAATAAAATCGCGAAATAGGTCCGTTAGCGGATTTCGTCTAATTTCTCAATATAAATCTCTCAAGATTTACGAGAGAATCATCGTCGTTTAACGAGTAAAAGAAAAAAATCGTCCAAACGTCGTGCATTATCGGCGAATGCGTAAACGCATGTTGCAGCGTTCTTGTCAGCGAATCCTAAAATTAAATCTATAGAACTACGCGATACCGATTGCATCATTTTGACTAAACGCCCTTCAAATAATTTCCTTATTGTATAACAGCGATTATAATTCTGTACATTTTGGATGTACTTTTTATTGATGTTTTAAACAACAAGACTTTAAGTTAACGATTCAATTGTATGTTATGTTATAGATCGAAAGACAATTTTTAGTTACGATCAAAGATCACGTTGATCAAGACTGATGCAATCCGGCCTCGAAAGATATGTGGTCGTGAAAAATGTGCATTGTTTTCGAGCGCAGTTCGTAGTAAGTTTCTGCACATTTTGTACTTGGATTACCGCACGAAACGAGCAGTACAACTTTGACGGTCGTTCCGGTATTGATCAATTTTTGGAGGTCTCAGGAATTAACGCGTTTTCGTGGTGTGCGCAACGGCGGCGTGCTTTCTCGCAATGCGAGGAACTGTATGACTCTTAATTACGATTATTATTAATAATCTACAGAACGCAGGATACGGGGATCTCGTTGATAAAATAAATCTAATTTGAAGTCCAATTGAATATTTAACAAAATTGACATACGCAGAGTAAAGCTGCGTTTTATTACTCACTGATTATTGAAAATCTATGGTACATGTGCAACATGAATTATAGATTTTCAATATTCGCAGTGAATAACGAAACGCAGTTCTAAAATGCAAGACAAGACTGCGTAATTTAACTGTTACAAGTCAACCGTTCTCGGAAGTATTCTCATCCACAAAATTTTTATTCTTAAATATTTCAAGTGGGAATCTATCTAAGGGAAGATTTAATTAACGAAGAAGCAGATTTGAACAATTTGAATATTATGCACGGAAATAAAACGTTTACAATAATTGCGTTTGTCAAGAGACGCCTAAAATATCGTATTGTGATGCATGACATGTAAATTGTTCAAATCCATTCCTATGCTCAAATCCTTCGTCTCTTCTGTACTTCAATACTTTGTCATCACGCCACTTCCTTCGCGAATAAATTAACTTTTTGCGAGCAAATAAATGGATACAGCAGCTTGAGCGGCATAAGTACATTCGATAGTCGAGCAGACGGCGACGTGTCCGATTGCATCTTAGGAGATCTTCGGGGCTGCATATTTAGATTTGTTTGAGAATCGTTTAATCGTAATTCTCGGCGCGGACTCTTTACGTACATGGAACCATGTGAGCCTTCGAGGGAGAGGCGACCTTTGCGCTGAAGGTACGTGGTGATATAGCGTGCGATCAGCTTCTGTGGTCGCATCTGCCATTCTTCTAACACTTCTTTGGGCGCCAGAACCTTTACAAATTATGAAGATAATTTAGAAGTGGTTCTCGAATTCGATTAATTCAAAAAATTAAGCATTCAATAACGTTGACTGTTCGCATATTGAATTATAGATAACGGTCTGAATAAATTAGCAAGCAAGTAATGTAACTACTATAACTTACGAAAAGAAGATCATAAAACCACAAGATATTGTTTCTGATATTTAATAAATTATTACATTAATAAAAAAATTTTTAGGCTTTTCGGCCACAATCTGGCTATCTTCAATAAAATAAGAAATATCAGTAGAACGCAGAATTTACATAAATCTGACATTAAATTCAGTCATTCAGTCAAAAATATAAATATAAACGTATTCTTTCATCTTGCATCATAAAACGTGGTTGCAGCGCCAATTATCATATAATTATGTAAAACAAGAATTTCCAGATTCTGTTTTACAGACAAAATGATGGATCTTAAGCACTTTCCTCACGCAGATGGAAATTCGTCGTGACATTGTGTATTATTATTTGTCCGTCAATGTAATGATTTATTAAATATCACAAACCATATCTCGTGCTGTGGTTTTACGTTCTTCTTTTCGTAAGTTTTGATTTATAAACCACGTTTGTTATAATTGTAACTACTATATTTTGTTCATAATTTTGTGTTCGACAAACAATATGCATTTACTTCGTCGTGAAATTGTCACAGCAAAGTGCATATAAATGAGAATGCAAATTAACTCGCGAAAATTCGTTCAAGGCATATATATATATATATAGGATTCTTCGTGAGCGTAGAAAATTAGTGTCGAAAATACATAAATTACACATATAATACCTGGTCGCCTTTGAGTCGATCCAACAGCGTCACGCAAACGACGGCGGACTGGATGCCGGCGTGATGTGTTAGAGCGGCGAAGCAGAGGCTTTCCATCTCGATGTTCACCACGCCAGCCTTCTGTAACTTCATGAGGTATTCCATTTTGTCGGCCTCGGTGAATTCACAGAATGCGCCGTCCAGGCGGCCTTGGCCCTCATAGAAGTCGTTTGAGCACATAGTTTTGCCGATCACGGTATCGTAAGGATCATCGCGATGGGCCAAGCCCTTTAGATCGCGAGCTAGCTGTCGATCAAGTTTGGCTGGTCGGCGCACCAATTTTCCGAGTACCATCTGCAACGCACTATCATTTAATACTAAAACTATCGACAATTAATTTTTACTATTTAACTCTAATTGATATTTGCTCCGATATTTCCTTAATTGGTATTTGCAAGTCCAGTGTACATGTTGAGGCAACTCTGAACTAGCTTTTAAGTGATTGAAAAATACATATATTTTTTGTAATGATGTTAATAAAAATTTTATTAACTTTATTTCAATGTACAAATTTTCCCTTGTGTGTTATTTATTATAATTGTCACTATTATAATAATTTTTGATAATCATGAAGAAAAATACATAAGAAAATGTAGAAATAAAAAGATCTGCGAATGATCACGAAAAATGTTGTACCCTCCTTGAATAATTTTTATAAAAAACTATGAACTTTAGACTTTAATATTTCTAGTTCTGTTAATTCTCCCAATTCTTTTATATTGTAATCGTAAATCATAATCATAAATCATAGTCTACAGACAAAATTTAATTAGTTAATTGAAAAAATAAAAACACAATAATATAACAAGCTTTAAACTTATCGAATTTTTTTCCGCTCTTTTTTATTATATATATAGATTTTAAAAAACCACTAACCAATTCCATATAAGGTTTCATCATTTCATCAAGAGCTTCTTCCGAGATGATTACCGTACCACCTTCATGGCCGATACCACCGCAAGTACCAATCCTGATGAAAATTGGGTCCTTTACTTTTGCATGGTACATCAGCTTGATAACTTCATGGAGCAGAATGCTTACTGAAGGTATACCCATTCCATGCTAAACAGATATAAATATTTTATTTATAAATAGTCGTGATTCCTTTTGTTAAGTTTTCTTTTTCATAAAACTTGACAGGATATTTATTATAAATACAACAAAGAAAACGAAACCGATTATTATTTCGACATATGTCTTGTACAACAAAACTTATACTGTGACATCAGATTCGTTCGCTTGTAAAGACCCCGAGATATTCCGCCAAGATTTCAATAAATAATAATTTCTTTCAACAACCAAATAACATAATTGCGTTCCGCTCAGCTTGCTCGGTATGTAATTCGCGCGATGCGATAAAAAACGGTTTAATCGTCCAGGCGTGTAAACAACGTAAGTAGAGTACAGCGGAGTAAAGCAGGTACCGTGATTAGTGTGGAATGTTAGTGGATTTATTTGCCTGCTAGGAATGAATTGTCTATTTCATTACGTCGGCGCCACATTCAACCTAGAGATTAGAACATTGCAACATTTTCTTTTTGAAGAAACATTGTGCTCTCTTATTAATAGCATCATTTATTATCGCACTCTGCAAGAATTTGCTTTCTTCTTCGAATTATTGACATTGCTTTTTTTAAAGATGTAAAGATATTACTTATTTAAAATCAGTCTTTAATATATACTTTTAATTTTTTAATATTCTATTAAGAAATGAAATTTAATAATGTAATATACTGCATAATTTTATTATTCTCAAAATCTTTAAAAGCTATCAAGCTCCTATCATTAATTAATTTTGAAATTGATATTATTTTTTAAATATTGATGTTTATGCAATTATACAAATTATTTAATATTATAATATTAAATATTCCATCTTAATACAAAAAAAAATGATCGATGTATTCGAATTATGCGAAATTAGTTACGACTTGAAAGGATAACAACTTTCAAGTGTATCGTAAACGCGCTCGTTTCATTAACACTGTTAAACGGATACCTACGACTTAATTATGTTAAAAGTAAATTTGCTCGAAACATGGCTGCAGAGTTTTCAATATATAATCTACTTCACATTCCAATCGCAGTAACATAGTATGAGGTGCTTTAAAGAACCACTTGGCCGTCGTCATACTTGATTTCGTCGTTTTCTCGATAATTAACGACAAATAAAATTATCGTTGAAGGAAAAAAATGTTCCACGTTGAAGAAACGTTCGAAGGTACTCATGAAAGACTTACGCTGATAGAGAGAACCGGGCCGACTTTGTACATTGAATAGCGATAGGAATTTTTGGTAATATCGAGGAGGGTCGTTCCAGCTGGCAGCTTGTGACCTATCTCTTGCATGATGTAGTTAGCGAAATGTTCCATCCTTTTCGGTGTTCCGCCCATGCAGACGAACTGTAACGAGAGAAGTGCGCAATTACATCAAGTGATTTGGCACGAAAAGAAGAGAAAATAGGTCAATTGTTAAAATAATAATCTTTCAAATAATAGTCAGAATAATAAGTGATTCAAATAGAGAAATAATACAATCAACAAAGAGAGAGACAGCAAGGCGAGTTAAAGTCGTCGTTAAAGTGATGTGACCCGAATCTTCAAACGTCCTGATTCATCTTAAATGTCAAAGATCATCGGTTACGATAGTAAAAATAAACGAGCGGTAGTCGATGGTGTAATCGCACGTCATTGAAGTATATTCTGCGATTTATTGATGTTGGCTGACATCACGAGCGTATCGCGTGACATCGATAGCTTTGCGCGGTCACGAGTGGTGCGTCTTTCCATTTCTAATCCAGATCGTACGTCAGGTGCAGGAAGCAAGGATGTGTTGATTAATCGATTATTGACAAATGTAATAAATATCCGTCGGAACATTATGTGCAATTGCCTCTTGGACCTCGCAGGAAGCCAAAAGTTCAATATTAATAAGTGATATAACATCTTACGTCATACCATTTTGCTGTTTATACGTGATAAGTTTAAATGTACATGTTGAAAAGAAGACAAATTAGAGTTATTTTAATAATCAAAAGACAAAATTACGCGTACACGGTAAAAAAAATGTTTCGTATTTGTATTAAAAATGATCCATTCAAGTCTTCGTTAAAATTTTGTGTTGAATTTTTAACATATTTAAATACTAATTTAATGTGATTATGTTATTTAAATAGTTGGGCTTAAATTGATATTTAGTATCTTTTAGTGTCAAAATAATAACAATTTATGAATAAAATGAATAAATAACATAATGTGTTTTAAAACAAAAATTTTAAGATAAATGAATAAAATATGTGTTAATTTAACAGATTTAATAAATAGATATTATAAATGTTAATTTTACTGAAAAAAACATGCCGTGTCATATAAACTATGTCAATATTAATTTTTTTGTATTTTTATTCTTTAAAAATAATTATTTGTGTTACCTTCTAACATATTCATCTTTTATTAAATTAACACATAAGTGGTACATAAAATAAATTTGAGTGAACCGTTTGGGACACAAGAAATGTGTTAAATTTAACTCAAATTTTCCAACGGTATAACTGAAAGGTATAACATTCTTGAGGCTTCCACAGGTGCTTTCTATATAAAGATTATGTGTTTCGCGGGTTTTCTCCGCGTCCAGATTCATTCTTGGAATGCCAACGTTTCGTGAACCTTGCAGTCCACTTCATCAGAGCGAAGAGCAGCCTGATATTGTAGAACACGGAAAAAACCCGTGAAAGACATAATTTTTATAACTGAAAGGGATTTTCGAAAAGTAGGAGAGTCGCCTGGGATCAGTTATCACAGTTTTTGATTAGTGATTTTTTTGAAATATTATAAACATTATAATATCTTATAGATATATTAAACAGAATATTAATTCGTGAATTCATCATATCGTAAAAATAAGTTATTTAATTTTAAATGAAGCTGCGAAAATGTGACAATCAATCCGGTGTTTTGGGTCACATGTTCTAGGATTGGCAGTAGCATATTTGTTACAATATATAAAAAATATATAATATATATATATATATAAAATATAAAAAATACATAAAAATTATATAAAAATTATATAAATATTAAATAATATTAATAAAAATTATATAAAAAATACAATTTTTATTTTAATGTCAGTTCTATATTTTGAAAAAAAAAATAATAATATAAATAAAATAGTTACTTTAATCATATAAAATACATAATTTGTTTTTTGTAGTACTTTCTATATACAAAATTAAAAAACATATGAAATATAATATATTTGTAAGTATATTCTCTAAAAATGTGTTCTCTAAAGATATTAAAATTAATTGTTATCTAACTTCGTCTCATTTTCGTCAATCTATCCCACATAACTATTTTAATAAAAGAGATTTTTAATAAAAGAGATTGTACTCACAAACTTTGTCAGAATAATAATTAATTAATTGTAGCAAAGATCTTCTAAGACATGTCATTTTTTATGAATATCGTGATTAATAATGCTAAAGATATGTTAGACAACAAGATAGGTGGTAAGAAAAATTTACTCACCAACTTCATTTTCTTAAAAATCGTTATAACCCAGTAAGAAATGATAATGGAATCGACATCAATTCGACTCTCACTAGATAAATAATACAATGCTTGTAGTGTAAATCATTTTACACAACAAATTAATATTATATCAGCACTTTACAGTTAAGAAAAGAGAATTTTCTGTCATACGACAACTAGCCCCAGTCTCTCCTACAAATTAGAGATAGAGAAAGAAAGGTAGAAATTTTCAAAAAGAGATTTTGCTATTGCTCGGAGATCGTTTTATTTTTATGTTTTCTTATATATTTTTCTTCGTAGAAACCGAAAATAATCATTATCATAATACCAGACTTAAACAAAAATTAGATCGAAATAAAATTAATAAAATCCTTGTTCGCATCGTTATAAAATCAATTACATTTCAATAATTTATTTATAAAATTAATTCTAAATTGGATCAAATATAAATAATATTGCACCATAAAACGTTAATTAGATTATATTTTTCATTATAACATTTGTCTCACACACACACACGCACGCATCTCGATACCGTTTCCCTCACTCCACTTCATGCGCAACGGAATATAAGATGATAAATGATATAATGAAAAATATAATCCAATTAACGTTTTATGATACAATATTATTCACAATATTTGATCCAATTTAGAATTAATTTTATAAATAAATTATTGAAACATAACTAACAGTAACTTTATAACGATCCATGCGAATAAGGATTTTATTCATTTTATTTCGATCTACCAATTTCTCTTTAAATCTGACTTTATTTATAATGATTATTTTCGATTTTTCTATGAAAAATACATAAGAAGGCATAGATATAAAACGATCCCCGAGCGAAACCCTAAAAAATTTCTACTTTTCTCTTTATCCAAATTTTTATATTTTTTATTTATGGATTATCTTTCTAATAATTACAAGAGATATAAAAAATACATATACTATATAGATATCGCAATATCTCTTACGATAATTATTATTTGTACTGAGAGAAAAAAATGATTGCAAGTACTATAATTTAAGTACTGTAATTTATAGTCATTTTCTGAGTCAACTATAAATTTATGATTATTTTAACCATGCACATTATAGCTGTTTCAACATTGAAATATGATTTCACAACTACGACATGCATTAAGTTTTTCCTTATCATATCTCTTTTATAGTTATTATTACCATAAATAATTAGCGAATATTAAGAAAATAGCTATAATATGTAGTTAAGAAAATAGTTATAATAAAAATATAGAATATAACCTTCACTAATAATGACGATTGCATTCATTACGTAAAAAGTGATTATTTTTATTTATTATTTGTATATTAATATTTTACTATACCTATTAACAATTCAGATTATCATTTATAGTACAATTTTTCCATATTTGAGAGAATTATACATATAAGGTTATTATTATTATTAATTATTATTAATTATTATTATAGCAGTGTAATAACCGTAATATATAATGGATCTCTTCCATAATTTTTTAATGCAATTATAATCACAAATATCAAATATTTTCTTTTTTCTCTATGTATAATCATTGCGTAATTTGTATTTGATTTTAAAAAGTTGTATTTAATATTTATCATTTATTATGTCGTTGATGTAAGATAATGAGAAAAAGGAAGAAATAACGCCGCTGATTAAAATACAATACGAAAAAAAAAATAGTGAAACTATGATAACGACGTAATAATTCTGATAATTATGTCATTCGAGTTTCACAATATCCAACATGAAAGTATAATATAAATGTTTCATTTAATAGAGTTGTGCATTTATAAAATTTAATTAATTAATTAATTAATTTTTAATAATAACATACTTGCTCACATATCTTTATCGTAATACGTTTTGCAATATGAGTGTTAACTAATAAAGTAAGTGTAACTAATGCACACGCGCGCATCGTTTTTTTGTTGTTCAAGATTGCGCACGTGTCTATTAGTCTATCAATCGACTATTATTTTATCAGCTGACTTATCGTGATAACATGAAATAACATCAAATACTCTTTAAAGTGCTGTATAGTAGAGGAGAAGATGATATTGTGACCCCAGTTACATTTTACACACACAAAACACACACACATACACACACACACACACACACACACACATACACAATACTTTGTTAATAATCAATATTTAAGTTTAAAACTCGACAATTACATTCGTTAAAATTTTGTTGAATCGATTCTAAACTCAAAGTTACTAAATATTTATTATTTAGGATATTATTAATAAAAATGTGGCGACATTGCATAATGACTCAAAGAAAAAAATGAGTGATAGTGTGGCCTTCCGTAAAAATCTTAAAATATTAGTTTTGTTTACAAAACAGTATTTGGTTACAAAATTAACAAAAAAGTAAAACATTTTTAAATGTATGCAAATGAATGTATATATTATATATTCACATAACTTCTGCATATAAGCTGCTCAAAATTAAAAATCTCAGTACTAAAAATAGTACACGTAATATAAATTATAGATTAACAGTAGAGCTACAATCGATTATTAAATAATTATTTTGATATGAAAAAGCCGCAAAAAAGAGAATCAATATCCATAGAGGGTCACATTAGCAAAATGTCATGCTATTGTTTAATTTTGCATAACTCTAAATATACAGTCAAATAAAATGTTAAATAACATATTCAAAAATTCATACATATATTCATGGATAATACGTTCAACTTCAAGAAAAATAAGGAAGTAAGTGTAATTAAATGCTAAAATGTACCTCAGAAACGTTTCGAAATATTTGAAAGTAAAAATGCGTTATAATAAGTGCCTGACTATTAAGTATTAATATATTAGCGTTATGATGTAATGGCGAGCTGCTGAACAAATAATTCCATAAGTAATCATTAGGATTCGCTATATAATAGCGAAGATATTAAGAGAGGCCTTAATATATGTACTGGCCATAATACCTTCTTTTCTATATCCCGAAGATATTTTTCTCTCTGAACACGATGCCAGATTGACAGAATTTGCGTAATATGATTTTTAGTAAATTGAAATAAAATAAACTAAAAGTCTTTGAAGTATGTACATTTCGGAGAAAAAAAAGTGATTTTTTTATTGAAACGCATAATGGTTATATCCATTTTATTTATAAAATATCACTCCATCAAACTCCTGTTAATTGTAATTTTCAACTCTACAATATAAGTAATTCTACAATATAATATAGTTATTTATATTAAATTAAATATATGTTACATTAAATTAAAATTATATTGTGAAATGATAGGAAATTACTACAGATACGTTACATGTAACTTTGTATTTGCAGGAAATATAATTGAGATTAAATTAAAAGTGATTAAAAATAAAAGTTATTGTATATTAAATTTTAGACTTTTAATAGAAATAAATCATATGCATTTAGAAATTTTTAAGAGATCTTACTTTAATAGATCATTCATATCCCGGCTTAATTACAAGATATATTAAATATCACTGAGCATCGAAAATAAAAAAAAAATGCAAAATGTAATGGTATTCAACTAAATTTTTGCTAAATAGAAGTTGACGTAAAATTGCTTAAGAAATACGTCAACAAAATTTGTCCAACTATTTCAACGAAGATTCTTTGCATAAATGTACTTCAGATCTTTGTACGAATATAATAGGAATTTCTTTGATTTACCTTGACGTCACCAAACATCTCAACCAGATCATGGGAACCGCTGCCAAGTGCGAGATGGTACAATATATCCTGATCCATGAGTTCGATATTGGGGTTTCGTAATCGTACGGAGCCATCGCTGTACCTATAAAAGAAAACCGGTTTGACTTTTTATTTTATGATAGAATATCTTAAATATCTATTAAAAACCTTTTGCATGATCATGAATGCAATAAAGTATTTAATACAATAATTGAATAACTTCACCACGAAATAGATAACATGTATCATAATACTGCAATCATAGCAAAATATTTGATTAACGTTTTCGCAATATACATGCTACATGAAATATGATCAATTCCCCTTGTTTATGAAATATACAATTACCCGAATTTACATAAGATAATTAGTATTCAGAATTATTGACTATAATGTTAAATAATATTTCAATTATATATTATCTTACTTCTGATATTTAGTGTATATTTAAGCAAGAATATTAACATTTAAATGTATAACATTTTAAATTAATTAAAAATCGGCAATTTTTTTTGTATAATACATTACGGTTCTTTACTGTTTTTCTTTGTAATACTATTAAAGATAACGATTAAATCATTGAAGATGATAAATGCCTTTATATAGTAAATCTCAGCGTTTGCATAATCTCTGGATTATCTTTAGATCGCGAGGCACAAGCGAGCTTCGATTAAATTGATGGCCTTTGACATCACGACGTCATGAAATTGATTCTATGGCAAACGATAGGACGGGCAATCGCATCAACGAAAATTGACTTCGTTAATGTACTCGTAAGCCTAATCGGTTCTAATTGTCGACGGATTCGTGCATCGTAATTAAGTCATCTCCGTTTGATGGCCGAACAAATGTATTTCGTTTCTGACGCCTCGGCAGTCGAAATATACAACGTGATTATAGGAAAGAAATCCTCTGCGACGTGTAAAAAAAGTTCAATATTTGTGGAAAATGATTCGATGAAATGATTCAATTTATACTTTGACATGTAGATTTAGGAGTAAAAATATAAAGGTTATGAAATATGGATTGTCAGAAACAATATCTATAAAGATATTATATTTCAAATACAGAAATGGGTCAAGTTGGAACTGAGCAGAACAGCAAAGTGCTGTTTGCTCGTCTTATGGCTCGCTGGATTGTTTGTTTTTTCCAGACTACCTGGAAGAAGTTTTCTATGAAAGAAAATATCCACCGATAGTTCAGGTTCGCCTATTGTTTCTGGGTGTATGATATCGCTCGACAATGTAAATGTATACAGTACTCTTCTTTAATTTCTGACTTGTTATTGATAGCTTCGATTTATGAACGTGAAATCACAAGCGTTTATTAATCCGTTTAGCTATGATGATCGCTAATCTAATGGACAATATTCACGAGTCACATTTGTTATACTTTGACATCTGTTACTTATATCTGTGTTCGAAGAAATTGTAAATGCTTATACAATTTACAATACAGTTTTAGTCATTATCCTTTAACAATAATAAAAGTAAAAGGCTGTATAATATAATAAAAGGCTGTATAGTATAATAATAAAAGTAAAAGAATGAATCTAAAATAGGAACGAAAGGCTAATGAAAGTCAACTAAATTACCAAGTATGTTTTTGTATAATTTATATAAATTAATATTATGCGTTTATATAAATTAATATTTTGTGATTATTACGTATTAACATCCGTGTTGTTCTTATTAGTTCTTCTTTCTTATTTGGTCTTTAATTATTTTTTAGTTTGATTTTTATTATATATCTACTTTTGTTGCATGTGGTTCATTTAAATGAGAATGTTCAAACTTTTTTCGTCACTTATGATGAACAAAGAAAGGCTTCCGGAAAAAAATTTATGAGAGATACGTTCAATATTTGATGAGAAATATATTATCATAGGAAAAGATATATTACAGTGTTTGATCTTCTCATCAGTATATTCCTCACATCGTGTGTACAACTTGTAACACTGTCCACGTTGTCCTCCTGAGAAATTTTGCATGCATAACTAGTGTGAAGATGTTCACCAATTTCCATCTAAATGTCTCACTATGTATGTATGTTATTCAGAGGCTATTACTTGCACTCCTTCAAATATAGATTGATGGATATGAAATAATTAAATATTAATTCATGTCTCCATGGAAATTTAAGAAAGGTCTTTTGTTGATTCTCAACGATATGACACTTAACTAATCACATCTCGGATTACGTTTCTGATAAAGTAAAGTTTACCTGAAATTATCTGGGAAATAAGTTTTGATGTTGAGATCGAGTTACTTAATAAAGAAAATAAAAGACTTTCAAAACTGATTAAACTTTTAATAGATATTGCAGATGCAGCAACACTTTCTTTCCAATTTAAATTATAGAATTCAATTTGATTGGATTGAAGTAGAATTAAAAATGTAAGGTTTATTCTTGATCTAATGTCGTTGATTAGAAAGTTATAATGACGAATAAACATTATCTTTTGTATCTTCGAACGTACATAATCCGAATAAAAAATCGTCTCCTCTATTCGTTATTAGATAAAAATCAGAAGAGAGAAATGTATAATCTAATAGGATCACTCACGTGTTTTTTTATCTTTTAATCGCAATGAATTCTTTATTTCTTCTATTTCCTTCGTTATCGAATAAAAATCGAAGAAGAAAGATTCAGACAAGCTCCTAAATCTATTATAATTTTTTTGTCACTAACCATAGCTTCAACCGTCTATTGCTTATCTTTATCAACTTGATTTTAATCTTTGAATTAATCTTTGAAAACAGTTTTGCCCGGGAATATCTGATTACAAATCACATGTTTCTCCAAATGATCTTCCCTTTTATCCGTTATTATGTATATATAAAAATCGGAGAAGAAAACTAATTATATAAATTGATATCTACCTAGCTGCATCTTTTTATTCGCAGCTGTAACTGATTCGCCATCCTATTAACAGATAAAGAGATTTCTTCGAATATTTTATTTCTTTTATTCCTCACTGATAAAAATCAAAGAAAAGAAACTCCTAAGTCTCAAATCTCCAATCAATTATTTATTGAGTATAACTTCAACTAATTGTTGCTTATCATCATTAATTTTTATATTTTAATCTTTAAAAAAAAATCTTATTTTTTTCTGTCACCCATGAAATATCTTTGCTCGAAGAAAACTATCCAAGGTTTCTCATTTGGCGTTATCTGTCTTTTGTATGACTTTGCGACGGGCTTTTCATTATTCTCTTCACGCAAGCTCGACAGAAACTATGCTTACACGCGAATAATATAGGGAATGTAAAGATATACAGTCTGTTGTCTATGCCACGGAGTTGCGCTCGCCATATTTCCGTTACCATCGCAAGACACAACCATGCATCTTCGTCAGAATAGTATTGTCGTTCTAGTACCTCTTCTTCGCGTATCTCGCAATAATTTCTCATTTCGCTCATGCTAAAGAAAAGTATAATCGAGTTTTTCTATTATGTAGTGTATTCTATGATAAATATGAAAAAAAATACATCTTATAGTACATTAAGGCAATTAATAAATATGATTATACATCGGAGTGTCCCGAAGTTTGTAAATTAAAATATAGCAAAAAAATGTTAAAAAATATAATTTATATAAAAGTATTTGCCATTTGTCGTTTCAATTTTATAATTTTTATAATTTTTTGAATAAAGGTTAAAAACTATGTAATTATAATCACAGATTACGGTTAAACGGCCATTAATTGTAAATCACCGCACGTTAACAGTGTTTGGTTAACATGCATTATCCATGTGCGGCTTACAAACAAATGATCGTTTAATCGTGATTTAAAATTACCGTAATTAGTAAAAAATTAGCAGTTTAAAATTGGATGCCTAGAATTAGTCGTTTAATCATAATTAGTCTAGAATAACTTAGTTTGACTTTTAAAAATTACTGTTCGGATAACAATTAGCAAATATGTTTATACTTTATTTTGGAAACTTTCTTGCTGTGATATTTTGATTTGTAAATTTTGGAGCACTCTGTATATTTCTGCTTTTTTCCTATTGAATAAGTAAATTAATATTCAAGAAACATATAAAAATCACCAAAAAAGCAAAATGACTTAATTTTGATTTTTAACGTCAATAAACAATCAAATTTTAACAAAAAAAAATTATCACTTTGACTTTCATGACGTCAAAATAAAATCAAAATAAAGTCATTTTGACTTTCTCTTGACTTGGTGTGTTTTTCGGTTAGCGTAATTTAAATAAATTATTGCTATCAGAATAATAATTTTACTAACACTATAGTGTATTACTTACATACATAATACTAATAAATTAATTATGCAACAATTTATTTATAATTATAATAACGTAAAATGTCAAGGTCGACATTACGAGCTATTACGTATTAATATTGGAATATTCTATAATAGAATTAATATGGCATATAAACGTACAAGAGAAATTATTCCACTTTCAACAATTAATATATGTAAAAGAGAGAGAAACATATTGAACTAACGTTTGTGCATGTAAGCCTTTATTATCAACGCCAACGTAGCAAATTAATGCATGTCGATTCGTTGAAATTCAAAAGCGCAAATACCTAATTTTCTCATGTAAAAAAATTCATATTCGCGATAATAATAATCTACAGCAGAACTGGAAGAGAGACTTGTTCTATAGTACAATTTCCAATTTATTTTATATTACTTTCAAAATATAAAATTTAAAATATAAAATACAAAATTTATCGTTTGCTTGACATTTATAGTCTATTTTTTTCTGAAACGAAATATAGAGTTATGACTGAAATTGAACTCAGCAAGCAAAAAATGAGGGTGTATTTTTCCTGCAAATCACGAGTCTTTTGACAGTATTCACGACCAATCCTGTGAGAAAAATCGATTTTTGTGGTCAGTCAAGTCTGTTGAGACCTAGCTGCTAGTTTCCTGTAAAAAGAAAATATTTCGTCTAACTGCGGTACTACTTGATCTCCCAGTATTCCCGTCTGCGAACTTTATGCACAACAAACACAATGATCTAAATCCGTAATATGGATTTAATGGAATGAAATGGAAAAAGCAGCCTTTCAAACATCAATCTATTTGTGTATTTGTTGTATATTAGTTTTTATAGATTTTATATTTTGACAAGTTGAAAATGACATTACACTACGATATATCAATAAACATTTTCGTTTACCTAAATTTAATTTACTCGATAAAATAAAATGACAAATCACAAACACGTCAGCAATTCATATTTACAATTGTATTGTAATTTTTAATTTCGATCTTTCGATAATAACACTTTGTGTAAAACAATATTATAACTTTTAATATTTAATTTTTAAAATTAATTCTTACATAAAAACTCGCTCTTTTGTCAATCATCAAACATAAATTCACATATATAAAATTAATTTTAAACAATCCATAATTGAATTACATTGTGCAAAAAAGAATTAATCCATTAAGTTGAAAAAATAATTTATATACAGTGACTTACGAAACTGATGAAATAATTGTTATAAATTGTTTTTTAAAAGACTGTTTTCGTCTCGATTGTTTTCTTCAAATCAATCGTAAATAATTGTGTATATTTGATCGGTTTCGTAAGTCATTGTATATCACTGTATAATTGAGTTAGTATAAACACAAATAAGTGAAGAAGAAAAATATGCGGTTTAATAATATTTTTGCATGAATTTTACAATTTCCAGAATATAAACTGTACGCCGATTATTTTTCGGTCTTGAAATACAATCCTAAACTAAAACCGAAGTACTATGTATAAAACTATATAGTATATACAATTCTTAATTATAAATTGATTTATTAATTTTAAATTGTATTTATTTAAAATTTTTATTCAGCGAAATATTTATCATTTTTTGGTTATTTTTTGCTCGTTTCAGTTCGCTATAAAAATTTAAATAAAATTTTTTCTAACATGCTGTGAAATGTTCTTAAATTTCATTAAATTTTAAATTACACAATTTGAACTTAATTTCATGACATTACATTAAATTTAATGTATTTATAACTAAAAAGTATATTTGTGTACATATACATAAAATTTAATGTATTTTTCATGAAAATTTATGAAATTTAATGTACTTTTCATAAAATTTTCTTAAAAGTATTAAAATTCATATCATTAAAATTTCATAAATTTAATGTATACGTTCATTAAATAATTACTATAACTTAATTTTCAGTTAAATCAATTCATTACTTTTAATTTCGTTCATAACCTCGAGCTTCAATTACATGTAAAGGAAGCTCGTGATTACATTTCTAAGTAACAATAAACAGTATAACAATAAGAAAAATGTCTAAGTTGAATTAATTAGAATTCTGAAAATGAATAAATCAGAATTTTCTGATTAAATCCACTAATTCTACACTGAAAGAAAAGATTAGCTGAATATGGCCTAGTATTTTTAATTAGTTGCAGCAGTTAATTAAAAATATTATGCCATATTTTACCATCTAATTTGCTGCAACCAATCTGTTCTTTCAGTATAGTTGAAATAATCGGAATTCTAATGAATATAATCAGACTCTTTTGATTCGTTCTCAGGGTTGGTCTGATTCTTGGCGGGCAAGTGCAAGGTAAAACCTTCCAGTTTTCATTGTCTGTAAAAACGCGTCCCTACCTAACCGGATTGACGTATTCTTTGGGTTCCATGACCTTGTCCTGCTCCATAGGTGGTTTTAATGAGCAAACGTGCTCCTCCGACTCGTCCAGAGTTCTGTCCTGGCAGGCGCACGTCGGCATCCTGATTTATTTTTCAAGTCACAAATTGCACCACCTTGGAAATCAGTAGATCGTCGCACGGGCAGAAGATTTTCTGCGAAACTGCTCAATTCTGATTTTTACTTCCGAGGATCCGTTAACGTGAACGATATCAGATAGCACGATACAAGTCGCACGTTTCGTGTCGAGCCGATCGACAATATCAGAAAATAGTTGTCGGCGATTGCGACGGGATCTTTATACGTCACTCGAGACAAGTACCATGCCTCATTCTCACCCCACTATGTCGCTGCCATTTGTGGCCAATCGCCGGACACGTTCTCTTCAAACACGAATACACGCGTAACCGATCACTAGCTGGTGCAAGTGCAAGTCGCAGGCCGCCAATGCAGACGTCCGTGTCGTACCAGTTCACACGACTATCGGTAGCAGAATGCATATATAGAGTAGGGAGAGATCTCGAATTTTCTGAAGATCTGAATCATGTGCACTCCGGTGTATTCCATTCATGGAACACATGCTCGCTTCAATCGATCATTTTGGTCTTAAGTCTATTTTCTGTGTCTGAACCTATCGTGTGCAATTTTGGAACTTAAAGTGAGATAGGTATATACACTTTCCGGGGAAAAATGTTTCATGTGTAATTATATAAAATTATATTTAATTATTAGGTGCGCAACTAAGTTCTCGCTGTTATTTTGGTGCATTTCCATCAAAATAACAGCGAGAACTTAGTTGCGCACCTAATATATAAAAAAATTGACATATTTTATACATAACATTTTTTTCCGGGTTGATATCCCGAAAGCGAAAAAGAGAATTCTAGTAGGAGTAAAAAACAGGCTTCTCGTTGTTCAAATGTTCAACATATAATGCTTTGCAATGTGACGAATCTCAAGTGGAACGCATGAAAAAAAAAATCAATTCATTTAGTCTAGCGGATCGAGGTGACTCAGGCAAGCAGGGAGTTGCTTCAAAGGCAATTTTAAAAACCAGATTTACGCGCAAAATATCTCATTTTTTAAATCTTATCCGGACGAATAAATCTGTAATAATAAGGTAAAAATTTTAATTAATACACTTCAATTTGATTTTGTTATAAAAATGTATATAGAATTTCTTGTTTTGTGCTTCAGTTACTGCAAAAGCGTGCGTATAAAAGTTTCGATTGGACAGTATAAAGCATCTTTGCTCAATTTGAGCATACAGTTACACTTATTTCTTTTTTAAACTGGATGCCTCGATTAAACATTCTATCTATATCATTAGCTATTTTATTTTATTGATCGACAACAACCGCTTGCGGGTCTTAATAGTCCACTCCATTAGCTCTTTATATAAATTCATTAACTTTCTCCAATAATAAAACATTACTTCAACATTAACAAATATCAGGTCCAAAATTGACATATTCGTTTGACTTGTAATTTGGAATAAAACTTAAGCGACGTTTACAATAAGCCTTAAGTTGTATGAAATTTATTTATCAATCATAGTCGACGACTTTCCTCTCATCTCGGTAAAAAATGTTTCATGCATGAATGTGTATAAATATGTATAAACATAGGGTAACTCCGGCAAATACGCCGCGCTGGGATTTACGCTACAAAAGTCAGAAAAAATAGAAGGAGAAAGGATAATTTTCCCGCAACTACTCTTTGTTACATGCCTTTATGTTACATTAGTATTGTGTTATGATTTCAGCTTCTTACTGTTAATATTAATAAAATTATTGTGAGTTGAATCGATATTTGTCACTATAATAAGTAACGCCATCATAAATTATAATCTACATAAAATGATTATTGTAGGGCGTGTAAAAGACTTAGTTATTTCGTGATATAGTATACGTGTAGTGGAATAGTAAAGTATGTTGTGTAGCAAAATACAAATGCTTTGCTTTCGTATTCTTTATTAAGTTTGTTGTCTTGTATATCTTTGTTTGGGATATACGGTATTTTTAGCAAGCGGGATGCCCAAAACATAAAGTACGCAGATTGAATTCAGTGCATTAAATACAATAAACATATTATATGAAATATGTACCTCATAATACTTGTAATATAATATATAAGAAAAGATTGTAATATATAAGAAGAGATTGTAATTATTATTCATTACTTCATATACATATTTATCATTCTTATTCCTTAATGAAACTTTATAAACACATTTTATAAGTTATTGTGTCATTATACATTTTATTTATATGCATTATTTGTAAATTTTTCATGAGTTAGCCCACTCCTATGGGATATGCGGTAAAAATACAAGGGTTTCTAATATTTTTTTCATAGTAGTAGACAGTATAAGTTTTTACTGATATAGTTCATTTACCATAAACATAGTAAATAATACTTAATAAATTAAATTTTTGATAGATGCAACGTACATACCGGAGTTAGCTTACATAAATATTCATAAATATGTATAATCATATGTCCATATATATTCATACATCTCTTTTTCTTTTGTAAAATTACTTTTTAGTGTAATAGAAATAGTAATATTAATGTAAAAACATTAAAAATAATTAAAGAGATAATTTTCGCATTGTTCGTTTCAAAAAGAAATAACCTTGGAAAAATGTATAAAAAATTGTACATACACAATTATGCATAATTTTAGATATAATTATACATAAATAATTTTTTTATAATTTCTTCGAACTTGATTTTTTTCTAAAACAAACAATATGAAAATTACCCTTTTAATTATTTTTAATGTTTTCACATTATTATTATTATTTTTATTACACAAAAAGTAATTTTACAAAAGAAAGAGAGGAATGTATGAACACATATAAACATATTTCATAGATGATTATACATTTATGAATATTTATGTATGTTTATACATATTTATACATATTTATGCATGAAAATTTTTTTATACCGGGATTCGACTATAATTGGTTAATTTTTTACGATTTGAAACTTGAAAGTTAAGTTTTACGTCTTAAAATTTTATTATAGACGTTGCTTTAAACAGACTATGGGTAGAAGAGACTGGGGACAGTTGGAATGGAAGTAAATTGTAACAATGCGTATATTTTTTAAATGATATAAGAGATAAGATGATCACATGAATAATAAAAATAATTGATATCGAGTCCTATGTTTTATGTCATCAATCGCGCGTACGCCGTATGTAAAAAAAGTTATATACGTACTGTGCTCAGACAAGCCACATAAGTGTAAATTTACGATTTTACACTTTTTTGCTTTAAACTTTCAAATAAAAGGCTTTTTATCATATTTTCAATTTATTGATTCTAAAATACGTTTTTCTCAAGCTCGGTGCATACCTTTTTTTAATATTTTTAATTTCAAATATATTCATATATAGTAAATTTTGACAACATCGGTTTGGAGTTAAAAGTACCGTATCGCTAGGGTACATTGTAACATCATTACAATTAATGGTAAATGTTAAGAAGAGTCCGTTTATCTCAAATTTTGATAAAAATACACTGAATCGATACATTTTCGCGTAAAAAATAAAGAACAAGAAAAAAAATCGCTTTGCTTCGTAAACCGAAATATTTTAAGTTGACGACTATTCAGATTAGGAAATCTGTCACAACCACGAAATATTGTGATGCAAGCATGCGCTAAAGTCACGTTGTTATGCTCTATGGCCGCGTGCGAATATAAGTATTTCTTATTGTAATAGATATTATGCACTGCTTTAAATACAAATTATTTGTTTTGTGTTCCGAAAGACAAATTCACTGCTTTTTAATAACAATTTACTGTTTTTTTTTAAATAAAAATAATATAAAAAGATAATTTCTATTTTAGAACAGATAATTTATTTTTAAAGCATTGAATTTGTGTTTTTAAAGCAATGAATTTATGTTTTATAACAGATAATTTGTTTTTAAAACAGTGAATTTCTGTTTTAGAACAGTTTGTTTTTAAAACATGTTACAACTTTCTCTAGCTGTTTTATTTTGTCCCAAATCGGAGCAAAATATACTTAATTAGGATTTTGATATTTTATTCATAAATAGCTTAAAATTACACTTTTTTGCAAATAGTACTATCAATCAAAATAATTGTTGCGTCATGTGCATTAAAAGAAATAAATATATATGTTATAAATAAAGAAACATATGTCTTTCTAAAAATTGATACAACTATCCCCAGTCTATCTCACCAAAATTTTTTAGACCTATTAATTTATATTTTTTGAAGCAGAATCTAAAAATTATTATATATACATAATGAATATCTTTATATAATTATATTTATATATTATATAATGATATATTACACAATATAAATTTATTATATATATATATATTATATATAAACTTGTTACAATAAAAGAATAATTGTAAAACTTGATATTTTGATGTAGAAAATCGAAAAGTACATCCGTAAACTGTAAATTCTGTAGCTGTAGAAACGTTCATCATTTTAAGGTTGATCTCTGATAGAATTGCACTTATCGAATTTTTCACGAGCGTTTCACGAGCTAGAACCGCAGTGCAAAATAGCAGTGCGAAATGAAATTCGCTGTTTCCTTTTTTGCCAGACCGAGAAATTAGAGTTATTTTTGAGCGACTGAAAGGGTCACCGGAGTCGGTTATGTAACCAACATCCTCGATCCACAACTTCACACACCTGCCTGCTCCGAGGAAACATAGTTCGGAGCTCTTTCATTTCCGTCGGTATATCCATTTCTTTTTTACACTTGGGCGTACTTCTCCGTGGAAAATCATGGGGGTAAGTTGCATTCGCAAAACTTCCACGAGCAATTCGTTTAGAAATTGTTTCAAAGTTTCCCGTGGGATATCGATAAATAAATGTCATCTCGATGGACCGGCTGCAAGTTTTCTTAATAACGCTCTGGTGAACCACTTTAATGTCCGCCATGCGTTTTCGAATCATTAAAAAGCGCGAAATTTTATATTGCCGAGATAAGATACATTTCTGTTATAATGGTATTTTCTTTTTCTTTGTAATATATAACTAATAAAATTTTGATAAAAGAAATTATACTAAGAAGAGCTACGAGCCAAAATAAAACAAATTTTAATGTACATGTGATATAGTTGACATTAAATAACATAAATAAAAGCAAAAACAAGATAAAAATATGTCTATATATAATAATAAAACGTAACTAACATTTCGATCTCCTTCGAGTCATTTTCAAAGTTATAAATGTAATATGTATATAAAAACGGTTGACTAAAATAGGCTAACAAAGATAATTAATTATAGAGATACAATGACAAAAAAATAATTAAAAATTTAATAATAAAATTTTGTTATTTCTTTATAAAAACTACCATCATTCTTTTATGCTATAGAAACGAAATGTGATATCACATTAATTTTTCATGATAAAACCTTTGATAAATTTCTTTTTCATTTAATATAAAATCAGCGAAAAGTTCCATCACTGCAGTGTCTAACAAGTATATGTATCTTTCCTCTGTTTAATCGCATTTCTAATAATATACGTGGATCACTTTTATTTCCGGTTCGTGTTGTATTTGTATCGAATCACGAAAAGTCACAAACTTTATGTTCTTGGTACTGGTAATATCAGAATCGATCTCACGATGTCGGAAAATGTCTATGTCTTCCATACTTTCGAGGATCAGTTTATTTTGTTGCGATCACGATCACTTTGCGCCAAATAAAAATATTAACATCATAACTAATTTTCACAGTTCACGAGTCATTATTCGTCCAAATCATTGCAAGTAGTGATAAATCGGAGCAATAGACAGAAGTGTTAGTCGCTCGACAAAACTTTGTACTGCAAAATGATGCTGAATCGTCGCTACTTTTAGACCGACGCCAACCAATGCTGTACTTGCTACGTCAAGTGCACCACTGTCTTTTGGCAAGCAGAAAATGTCTTAAGATAGCATAAGCTTAAAATATTCATATATTTGATATTTATTTATTTTTGATACAGTTCAATAAAAAATTAATAAATATAGTATAGTTTAATGAACTATTAATAGCTTATGATATAAACGATTAATATATACAAGATTATAATTAACGATTAAAAGAAAAAAAATTCTTTGCAAGCTAAACTTTTGCAGAAGGAATGTAAATAGCAAAATCAGAATCTTTAATTGAATTTGACAAAAATTATAATATTATAATTCCATTATATTGTAATATCATAATTTTATTATATAATATTATTTCATTACATAATAATACTCGGTAAAAAAATTTTTCATACATGAATATGTATAAATATGTATAAACATATATAAACATGCATAAATATGTATAATTATATATAAAATATGTCCATACAAGGTTCATACATCCTTCTTTCTTTTGTAAAATTACTTTTCAGTGTAATAGAAATAATAATAGTAATGTGAAAACATTAAAAATAATTAAAGAGATAATTTTCACATTGTTTGTTTTAGAAAAAAATAAATTTGGAAAAATGTAAAAAAAATTGCTCATACATAATTATGCATAATTTTATATACAATTATACATAATTATTTTACATTTCTTTAAATTTGATTTTTTCTATAACAAATAGTGCGAAAATTATCTTTTTAATTATTTTTAATATTTTCGCATTATTATTATTATTTCTATTACACTAAAAAGTAATTTTATAAAAGAAAGAAGGTATGTAGGAACTCGTATGGACATATTTCATATACATGTAATTATACGTGTTTATGAATATTTACGCGCGTTTATATATGTTTATATATATTTATACATATTCATGCATGAAAAATTTTTTACTGGGATTACATATAAAATAAATTTAATTCAATAAAGTACTCGTTGCATTAGTTGGAATTCTGGTTAAAAATGGACAAATCAGATTTTTCTGATTAAATTTATTAGAATTTTAATTGAGGTAATCAAAATTCTGATTGATATGATAAGAATTTTCTGGTTCGTCCATTTTTAATCAGAAATTTTTTTAGTGAAGTTATCATTTTTTCTCTTTTTTTAAAAAATCTTTTTAAAAATAAATAACAGTAAAAATGCACTCTTACAGTGACATTTCTATTTATATTTACATTTAGTATTTATATATACCTTACAACGAGTTATAAACAATAAAATTCATGTGAATAAAAAGATTCAAAAAGGACTCTGATCGAAGCTAATTCTTTTGAAAGATCGATCTGACGATCTTCTCAACTCTAATCAAAGCTAATTCTTTTGAAAGATCGATCAGACGATATTATGGAATGCACATTTATCGCATATCTGATAAAGTAATATACGTCAAGCAGACATCTATTAGGATTATCTAAAAGAATATATTTTTATAATAATAGATCAGTTTTAATCAATAGGTGCTTTTTATTTAGTGACATGTTGACACAAACATCGTTCCGTCTTTCTTGACATCAAGTTCAACAAATAACAAAGATGGACTGACTTACGTCGATTTGAGTCACTAATGCCCGTTTCCATCAATGTAGAGTAATTAAAATCTCAGTTCAACTTACTCTTCGTCTTTTTCTAGTTCTAAAAATTATAAAAAGACAAAAAGTAAATTAAAGTTAATTTACGTTGGAAATGAGCATAAATGGAAAGCACCCAATTACATATAGATTATAAAGCAGCAATCATAAAGATTTCAATCTGAAAACATAGTCATGTTTAATTTCTTTATTAAAAAAAAATATTAAGATAATAAAAATGCTGCGATATCACAGCGTAATCGAACTGGATGATAAAATTAATAGATATAGGATTAATAAATATAGGACAAAAGGAATATATCGTTTATTTTTTATAATTTTATTTATGAAAATTTTTTAGAATCTATTTAGAAGAATCTATTTAGAAGAAAAGCATGATGTTATTCATATCTAATATATCTAATATATCGAAATAATATTTCTGCAAAGCCGATTAATTTTCTTGTTGTGTTTAATTCAACAGTTATAATTGCATATTACAGTTTTATTAATGAGGAATTAACAATATAATAGTAACAGTATAAAAATAAAAAGACACGGAATGTTATGACAATTACTCACAAATTAGCGTATCAATGGAAATTTAGTTTGCTCAATTTGGTAGAAATATATCTTTGGCTGAATAAAAACATATTGATCTGAAATTTTATATATACATATAGTGAGAAAAAAGTATTCGTACAAGAAAATTTGTTATAAAAAAGCCTGATTCGTAGAAAATAAACATTAATTAGCAATTTTATACAATGAATACATTCTGTTCTAATGTAAACAAATGAGTTTCGCATATATTCCTGATTTTAGAAGCTAAATTTTTCATCTATACGAATACTTTTTGAGCATCCAAACAATACAATTTTTAATTTTTGCTTATTTTTCAGATAATATTTTATATCATTAATACGCATCTTTTTGGTATATATAATTTTAAGAAACATACAGTCTATTTTATTTTTTATGAATAAATTGTTAATTATCCAACAAAAAATGATCGTCAATTAAACGTCGAATCGACATCAAATTGATGTTGAAATCATAATATTTATATCGATTCGACATCAATTCGATGACTCATTTCTCGTTGAATAATATTTACTTTTTAAAAATAAAGTTTTTTTAAAAATATTTTCTTTGTATAAATACTTTTTGCACTCACTGTATATATATATATGTGTTTTTTTAAGCCCGATAGAACTTAAAATTGTAAAAACTAACACAAAAATTAAATTATAATCAAAAAATTTTTTTTAGTCGAAAGATCAAGCATGGCATTAACATTTGAAAATGATTTCGGGCATATGGCCACCGCGGCTGTTTAATTTAATTTTTTGTTTTATTTTTTACAATTTCAAGTTCTATCGGGCTTAAAAAAACACCCTTTACATATGTGTGAGGTACCAATAAATTGTGTAATCAAAATATATTATACATCCTTTTGATGAGGTTTTACTTTCTCAGTTCCTCAAAGGAAAGGAAGCAATTAATTTTATCGTGATTAATATTGAATAAGAAATGCTGCTCGCAGATTCCTTTTGATCATGTATACCTATAGTAAAAAGTAAAAAAGTAAATAAAACTTCAACGCGCATAAAACTTCAATGATGTCTATATAGTTATCCAAATTATTAATATAATATTTTTTTTATAATATTTATTTTACAAATTTATTTTTCAAGCCTCTATAGAAAATTCATTGAAACAAATGGCATTTGCCATTCTATCAAATCAATTCAATCAATGCGACCGAATGATTTTCAATTTAATTACAAACGCGTGTAAACTTCGCTCTTTGTTGACTTTTCGCCTGTTATTCTACTTATTTCAAACTTGTTTTTCTTCTCTATAGAAGCGGAATTCCGTTATACAAGCGATCATGTTGTCGTCTTTTTGCCCAAGCTTTTAATTTCGCTTCCTATCGCGTGCATGACGTATATACAATAGCCAAGCTCTTTTACGGCGTCCATCCATTTTGAATTTAATCGATGAATATGAATTGAATAAGCTATATTGTTCCACACCAGGCAATGATACCGCGAAGCTGTAGTAATATCCGTCGCCTCGCAACTGATATCTGATAGGAGTCGTCGATATCTCGCCGTTTCAAACTTTAGAACTCAACGATGTATATGCGAATCTACGTTATCAGTCACGGACACGTGTAAATGCAGCCTCGCATTCGTAAATTCAGACCTAAGGCAAACGACAATTGCGATTGCATAATGATGTTTATCATGAAACATATATAATGCAATATGCGAGAACGTGCAGAGTGATCCACATTATAAATGTCAATACGGCATAATGAAACATGTCTCATTAGCTTCAAAACTGATAATGGAACAATTATTACTTCGCACGGTTTTATGTGTGGAACTACCACATTAAGAAAAAGGAGGATTTTGAAAAGAGCTCGATGTTTAAAAAGGTGTAATTAAAGGAATAAGCTTTTTTTATAGATTTTGACTTTCTCCAGATATGATAAAATTATTAAAACGTTTGTGGCATTTGGGGAACACTTCGAAAATTGAGTACTAATATT